CGCAGCTCCCGCACGCTCCCGTGTGCGCATACACACACACACACACACACATCACACGCACGCCCGCACAAACTCACACACGCACGCACACACGCACACACACACACATAGACGCACACACACACAGTGACTCACACACGCACAGACACACAGTGACTCACACACGCACACCTCTCTCTCTCTCTCTCTCTCTCTCTCTCTCTCTCTCTCTCTCTCTCTCTCTCTCTCGTGCGCGCGCGCACGTGCACGCTCCCGCGCAGCTCAGCTCCCACATGCTCCAGTGCGCACGCTCCCGCGCTCGCACACACAGACACACACACACACATCACACACACACGCGCGCACAAACTCACACACACACACACACACACACACACACACACACATACACAATGACACTCAATCAATCAATCAATCAATCAATCAAATCCAATCAATCAATCAATCAATCAATCAATCAATTAATCAATCAATCAATCAATCAATAAAACTTTTTTTTTTTTTTTCTTATAAAATTTTGCATCTGCATTTTTTTAAACACCTCATTTTCCTGCAAAAAACAAAAATCCAATTCTAAAAAAACTACAGGTGTACTCAGGGACCATATATCTCATGATAAAAAATGACCAAAAAAAATTCCTGCTTTTCTTTATATATATATATATTTTTTAATTTTGTTTTAATCAATTTTAGTTTTTGATTTTCTTAAAATCTGAAACAAAGTCGGATTCCAAAAACATATATATAGGAGTGTAGGGTTTTCAAGCCCTACACCCCCATATATTAGTCGGTGAAACTCCGACGAAACAGTTTGTCACAGCCCCTTGTTTGTTGTCCTCTTCTCTCTCTCTGCCTACGGTTTACCGGGCAGTTCTATTTGTGACGATATATATATATATATATATAGATATATATATATTTTTACGTATTTTTAGGGGGAAAACAAAAATATTGAAAAACCAGGCAGTGGACTAGGCCTCATCGGCCGCGGCCGCGGCCGAGAATCTCGGCCGCAACAGCCGAAATGCTCGCGGCCTAGGCCGCGGGTGTTACATAAGTGGACGCAGCCCGTTTTAGTGACCTTAATTGCCTCCGGCTTAATTGTCAGAAGACCACTTTGTACCATCTAGCCGCAAATATGGCGTTGTTGATCGCCAGTGCTCTACCGATCAACGAGGTGTGTGTTGTTTTCCAAGCATTCATGCATTGAATTGCTATGTTCACCAGTATGTCACCGTGGTCATAAAGGGGGCCAAGAGCAGTGAGGTTTACCCCAAGACTCTGATAGCAGCATCCCTAGGTTTTCAGTCAACCCTTGATGCATCAGGTGGTGGATTGTCATTTACGTTGAACCACCATTTCTCTATCTCCGTGCTCCAGTTCACTTTCATGTCTGCCGCGACCTCAAAGAGGTGGATCGTCTGTGTCAATGCCTGGAAGTTGGCAGAGTCAGCACGGAAGAGGACAGTGAGGTCGTTTGCAAAGATGGATGTCACTAAGATAAGGTGATTCGGGATTTCCTGCATTGCGATTCTTTGTATCTCAGGGTTGACCCTTATTATAGCCGCCAATGCTTCCATCATCAAGACAAATAACATCAGGGCTATAGGGTCTCCCTGTCTCACAAATCTCTGCAATCTAATTGGTGGCGCCAGGTATCCATTCATCATGATGTTTGTGGTTGTTGTTCGGTGGAGTATGTTTACCTATTTCAAGAATGTGGGTCTGAAGTTCATCTTGTTTAGGCATAATTCTAGGAAATCCCAATCCACGTGATCATACGCTTTCAAAGTCAATAAAGTGGATGGCGGCATCGACTTTACGCTGTCTTGCGTACCTGATGGTTTCATTGACTATCCTGAATGTTTCGATAGGGCATGAACCCAGACAGACCAAGGTGGATGAGAAGTGAGAGATGGGGGCATAGTCTGTTGACCCAGACTTTTGCTACAATTTTATATAGGGGACCGGGAGGAGAGTGATGGGCCTATAGTTCTTTATGTCATCCTTGTCCCCCTTTTTGTAAATGAGGGTTGTCATCCTTTGCCCAATCATATCCCGGAACGTCTCCTCTCTGTACACCGCGTTCACATATTGGCAAAAATCTTCTTGAAATGTGTCCCAGTAGTGGAGCCAAAATTCTTTGGGGAAAAAATGATCCCCGGGGTCTTCTCATCATCCATATCCCTCAAGGTCTGCAACATATCCTCATGTGTAATGGGTGTTTCCATAGCTTCTCGTTGTCGAGTAGTGAGGAGAGACGGGATGGCATTTAAGAGGGTGTCTCTGGCTGTTCGCAGGGTGTGGGGTGGATGATGGTTGGATTCCGATATGAAAAGTCTTTGGTAGTATGTCGCTGCATACTCAACTATCGTGTAAGCATTAGTCGCACAAGTGGTTGGCTGTTATCAAATGAGTGTCTCAAGGAGGTGACCGTGCTTTGCCTATTTCTAGCCTTAGCTTTACAAAAAAACATCTTTGTTATCATTCCTTTGATTGCATCCTTCTTGAGTTGTGCCCGGATTCTCCGTTTCTGGTTCTGGTTATCAAGATATTATTGTAGTTGAGCGGCTTGAGCCCTTGCCCTTTGGAGAGCGTCATAGGTATCCGCATCCAAGGGATGGTCCAGGAGATGGGCATCCCATTCTTCCAGGCAGGCCATGAGTCTTTCGAGATTCTCCTTCCACTCCCTCGCATGTTGGATTGAGTATTTCCTTACCCGTTCCCGAAGTTGTGCAACTCCATCATTGAACCATTGGACTAGCCTATCATCCTCGGGCTTGTGTGCAGACCAGTACGCCAAGAAGTCCTTAACTATGGTGTCAAAGGCAGGAAGTTTAAGGAGCGTATTATTGAATTTGAAGTAGCTCAAGCCTTTGTTTATGTGTAAGTGGAAGGATAGGTCAGTCACTATCATTCGGTGGTCGAAAGACTTGCACGCCGAGATGGTGCAAATATCTGCTATGGTGAGAAGTCCCGAGATCTCTTCTGAGACAAGGCCCAGAAAGAGGTATAATATCACAGTGAATACATCTTCCTCATCATGAACCTTTGAGCGTGGCAGCATCACCCTTCTACCAATCACCACCCACAAAGGACAAAAACCACTGCCATTATTCAATAGCCCTCCCTCTCGCCCTCTCCATTCAAGTCCTTACCAAAAAGAATAAATCCAACGAGGATAGACAGTTACGGCTCACAGAAAACGCCCCACCAAAAAAAAAAAAAGAAAAAAAAAAAAAAAAAGCCCCACCGGAAAGTAACAGT